TCAACCGCCGTCTCTTTCTCTCTGGCGGCTCCTCACCTTCAGAAGTCTCCTCCATAGACCGCGGGGACGGCACTGAAGGAGTCGCTTCACTTGCGGACGCCGCCATAGGCGCAACCTCCTGCTGAGGAACCTCTGGAGCGCCATCACTGAACGAGCCGCAGGGTATGTCTCCGCCATCAGAGTCGGTCTCCGCCCTAGGCGAGGTAACGACAGCCTTCTTCTTCTTGGGGGCGCTCCGACCTGCCAACACAAGTAAGTCAGGTAACAAAACCTAAGGGAACTTCCAAACCAAGGCCGAAGAATTACCTGACGGGCCGTACTGTCGAAGAAATGCAGCCCAGGTATGGCATTCCTCCGCATAAGGTATCAATCTTTCCACCCACGATTTAATACTGTCAATAAACTGAGGTGGAGAAGCCCTCGCTACAAAAAAAAAAAAAGAAATCATAGTGGCCGAATGGTCAAGGTCACGAACAGTCATGAATTCTACAAATAAAGGCACTCACGTTCTGGGTTCCATCTTTCCGGGAATCCTTCAGGGTTAGACACCAGATGCTCCATTCTGATGTAGAAGTACCTACGCCAGAAGAGGCGGTTGGCCTTGTCGTCAGACTTAACTACCAAACCCTTCGTACCACGGCTTTTCAATTGCAACATGGTACCCCTCAGGTAACCAGGGCTGAATACCTGTAAAAGATGATGAACTGAGACGCCGCACTCAGCCTTAGCTGCGTACGTGGTCAGAATCCTGCACACCTTCAAGGTGTAAGGAGTGAGCTGAGCCGGACACACATTGAAAAAACGGCAAAGCTCCTCCGCTAGAGGATAAATCGGGAGACTATAACCGATCAAAAACGGGTACTCGTAAAATGTGCAGTACCCAGACCTATGCACATTGGCATAGTCCATCCCAGCCGGAGCCATTTTCACATGGTGAGGAATGTTGTGTGTCGCTCGAAGGTTGTCTAGATGAGATTGCAGTAAAACACTATGCTCCCAGGGAAGGGCTGGACTTTTCGTTTGAAAATCCTTTCGAATATGCATTTCCTTTGGGAGGACGTTGTCTACGGTAAGGGGAACGAGGGTCTTTTTCACTTCCTCCTCCTCACCGCCAGAGGAAGGCGGAACCCTAGATAGGTCAGTGTCCTTGGTCTTTTTACCACCTTGACGATGTTTTACCATGGTGATTCTGTTGGGGAAATAAGGCACTAACGACAAAAAATATGACTTCAAAGAAGTGGAGGAGTCTCACACGAAATAATGGCTACAAGAAAGAAAGGCAAAGAAGTAAACCAGAAAATATTTTACAAATGTTCGAAAGATGAATCGGATTGAACCTCTCCCCCATTTATAGGGTTAGGTTGCACAGGAATCAAAGAGTCATGATTCAAAACGTGCGCGGGAAACCAAAATGTCACATCATCCTTTGAACCGCCTCGGGAGTAAGTATAATAGTGACGCATACAGGCGATGACGTCATTCCGAAAAGGAAGCCACGCGTCAGTGGCTCAAAAACGTCGTACATTTCGCCTTATGCACGTTGCCGCCCCAGGTCGAGGTCAAATTCTCCTAAGACGAGGTTTGCATTTCCGCCCATTGAAGACGCCTACCGAATGCGTCTCCAACGAACGGAGGGACTAACTGTATAGGGTCAAATTTGACCGCCAACGTCTCTACACCAATGGGTACGCCCAATGAGTATACGTCAACTAACGCAAGGGTACGACTTGGGCGTGGGAACAAAAGCGACATCGTTTAAGGCTCAGTGTCCTCACTAGGAAAACGTTACCTATTTTTGTATCTTTTTGATTATTTCGAGGGAGGTCTCCTACTATATAAGGGAGACCTTCACATTGTAAAAGGGGGGCGGAAATAATACAACTCTCTCATTTTTCTCTTACTCTCTCTCTATCTCTATCTCTAACGAATACTTTCTCTTGAGTTTATATTATCATTTTACACTATTAGATCTACAATAACAACTTCATTTTTCACCTCTAGGTCTATTATATTTGATTACGATTTACCCTTTTTTACTTTTGATTGTTTTTAAGCTCGCAAATTATATCGATAACTTTTGAGCCGAACAACTCTTATACTCCAGTTCTTTTGACTGAATGGAATGGGCGCAGAGTTTTATTTATGTTTGACGTCTGGATAAAAGAGAGAATGAATTTATAACAATAATTACTAGTAATAGGCAACTTTTCAAATAACAGTATTAGAATTAGAAACGACGTGACTTCCTGGTCACAACAATGTCATATTTTCTCATGTTAACTAGTAACAACATATTGACAAAGGCCGGCAAAATAGGCCACGAAGGGTAGTGGATATTGTTAGATATTTTGAATTTATAAGTGACTAAAACAGGAAAAATAAATGAGCAGAAATTGGAAGTGCAAAAGGAATTGCTTTTGAAAAGGCAACTAGGGCGCGAGGCCCCTTCCTCTTAGCTCCTTTTAAGAGCTTAAGGAAGTGCTTCTATATTTAAACCCAACAAAATATGCCTTTAATCAATGAGGGACAAATTGAAAAAGTCAAAGTTGCCTTTTCACCTTCTTCCCTCATTTCCCATTCACACTACCACACTTCAACCCCAACAGATATAAACAAAAAATTTATAACTTTCATATACCGAAAGGATAAAGAAATTCTTACACTATCAAAACACCTAAAAATAATGTTATAGGTAACTGTCGATAACAACTGAGTTTATAACTAAGAAAGTACGACATTAACCTTCTACGAAGGGAATTGAGATGCATGGGTCGTGTAAAATTCTTTACATTTTCAATACATGTAAGTTAAAATCCGTAAACAAAAAAGAGTTTAAACTTATAGATATCAACTATGAACTATGTATCGACAATGTAAAGAAAATAAGGCATGCTGCTTATCGCAAAAGATAAGAACGACCTTGTATGATAAAAATTTTTTACGTTGTCGATGTATATAAGTTAAACTCAAACAAAAAGTCTAGTTTCTTTTTTAAGAATAAAGATATTTTAATTGCTGTAAAGGGCAAGACATGGTGAAATTTGTGGTGAATTTTAAATTGCAAAAGTAGGAAGGGGCGGTGGTGCAAATCATGTGGAGAGCATGCACACTTTCTCTCCTCCAGACAAGTGCATTTCTACGGCCCACGGCCTTCTTACTGTCACGAGTGGATACCTACCCCAATCAATTATTTACCCGACCCACTATATATATATCCATCCCCATGCATATAGGAAAGCATTCAAATAAAGATCACGAAACCATTTCCCTTTCTGCCAACACTACAAAAACCATTATTAACTTGTACTAGCAGAAAAATGCAACCAAAGTTTTTCTATTTCACTCTCTTTATCTTTCTCTTGATCTCAACTGCCGGTTCTTTGGCTTATAATACCGGCGGAAGGAAAATGAGTGCGCCGGAAACTTCAGGGTCACCTAGTGGAGGAAGTGGTGCGGCGCATGGGCCTAATTGGGATTACAATTGGGGTTGGGGTTCTAGCCCAGGAGGAGGATGGGGTTATGGTTCGGGCTCGGGCCGGTCTCCTAATGGGTTCGGTCGAGGCTGGGGTTTTGGTTCTGGTTCGGGGAGTGGGTCCGGTTCTGGCTACGGATATGGCTCAGGAAGTGGTGGCGCTCATGGTGGTGGATATGGAGCGGGAAGTGGTTCTGGTGGTAGTGGAGGTGGTTCGGGTTCAGGAAGTGGTGGCTCAGGTGGCTCCGGTGGTAGTCGGTCACCATAAGCTTCCGAGAACCAGGTGTAAACACCTTGTTTGATCTAGTAATTTATCGTGTACGAAGTATAGCTAAGAATGTATTATGACTTGAACTACGTGCAATATATATATATATATAGGGCTTGATGTTTGGTAGAGTAGTAGACATATATATCGTGAGAATATGGCTAGGGTGGTATGTATTAATATGATGAATGTTTTAATCATATGCTAAAACCGTTTGAAAAGAAAACGAGTTCTTTTTCTTTTGTGAAGTACTCTCTAGCTCTGTCACACCGAAAGCTTTAATTAAAAGTTTTATGAGTGTAATTATCTTGAGCACCTGTAATTTGATGAGTGAAAAAACTAGCAGGAGTGGTGGTTGCTGTGTGTGTTGGTGTTGGGGGGGGGGGGGGTTAACTACATGTACTTGCTCACATGTTTGGCCAAGTCTCACAGAAAATTCTCATCCTTGACTATGCAAAGCAGAGATTTGTGTGTGTTTTCATGCTTCTTTTTCTTAAGTATGGTTTTTAAAAAAAAAAAGAAACCTGAGGAAGCTGAATTCTCATCATCTAAGTTTTCACACTGAAGAGAGAGACTATATTGATACAGACATATCATATTGTTGCATCCAGAACGAGAATGGTGGGGGATAATTTCAGGCTTTTATTATGGAGGAGTGACATTTTGGTGCTTAGCCATGCAAATTATTCTTCACGGGATTTTAATTTTTTTATTTTGATTTATGTGCACTAAAAGTATAAAAATCTTTCTATGATGACACTTAAAAAAGAAACTACAAGTAATCATATAAAAAATAAAGAGGATTAATTTGAAAAAATTAATATCGGTATATATGTATCCTGCTATAATAAGTTAATACTTATAATTAATTTCGTATTCTCTACAATATGTTACTCCTATACTTATAATTAATTTCAGTATTCTTTATAATGACAATACATCTAAGTTTTAAACAAAAATTAATAAAGACAACTTTTAAAAGCAACAACCAAAATTCTTTAAAAAAAAAATATTTTTTATTTTCTTTCAAACTTTAAGAGAATCTTTAAAAAGCATTTTGGTGTATTTTTGTAGCACCAATAAGTAGTGAGTTGACTTTCACAAGTATCCAGAATAACTTGACCGTTGATAACCCAGTAAAATCACAGGATATGAAAAGGGTATTGAACAACAAACCGTGCCAAATAAGATCTATGTTTCAAAAGGAGACTTCCCCATGCCCATTTGAAAAGACAATTTTGGAGATCACTCATGAAATTATACTGTTGTTTGTTATTGTTCCAAACCGTGACTTCCCATGCCCATTTGAAAAGACAATTATGGAGACCAAATTAGTATACTACTAGTACTTTTGTAAGAACAAAGTGCAATCGTTCAAACTTCAACCACGCGATAGATCTCCAAATACAGACTAGCAAACACAAGATCCGATCCTTTTGGATCGTCTGGATCCAGGTCGTGGCAGACCACTTACTGGACCGGGTCAGATGGAATTGACTATTGAGGTAAAAATTGCACGGGCGCCCTATTTGGGCGCCCCTTTTTAATCTGTAGCTGCTTTGTCTTTTTGTTTGCATCCGTACCCACTTTTTAAAAAACTTCAGCTTCCCTTTATAATTGGGAAACTTCAGCTCTAGAGCTGAAGTTTCCGGGTTACTAAACAAAAACTTCAGCTCTAGAGGTGAAGTTTTTATTTTATAACTAGCAAACTTCAGCTCTAGAGCTGAAATTTTCGGGTTACTAAGCTGAAGTTTTTATTTTATAACTGGCAAACTTCAGCTCTAGAGCTGAAGTTTTTATTTTTTAACTAGAAAACTTCAGCTCTAGAGCTGAAGTTTTTATTTTATAACTTGAAAACTTGAGCTCTAGAGCTGAAGTTTCCGGGTTACTAAACATTTCAGCTCTAGAGCTGAAGTTTCCCGGTTACTAAACAAAAACTTATAAAATAAAACTTCAGCTCTAGAGCTGAAGTTTTTATTTTATAACTGGAAAACTTCAGCTCTAGAGCTGAAGTTCGCGAGTTAAAAAAAAAAAAAAACTTCAGCTCTAGAGCTGAACTTCAGGCCCGGCTACTAAAATGCTGAAGTTTTGTGTAATTGCCTTTGCTACTTCAGCCCCGTGTGCTGAAGTTGTGTGAAAAAGCGGGTATGCTTGCAATTTTTTTTGCAAAGCGGGCATAGGTTAAGATGTGGCACAAAAAGCGAGTATAGATGCAAATGCCCCACTATTGAGCCACCGACTTTGGACCAATTTGTCCCAATTTCGGTCGAAACAAAATGTCGGCCCAACTTCCCTTATTCCTTTCCTATTAACTATAAAATTTAGGAAAAATGATACTATGCAACCGCTGCAAAAATAATAGTCGAAAAAATATACAAAATTTGTATATTTTTTGTGTATATATACATTCTATATGTTATATACAAAAACTATACAAATTGTATACACTTTTTCGGCTACCAGATATAAATAGTTTCTGGCGCATGCTAAAAATGATAATACCCCTATAATTTATAAAACAAAATAAATAATTAACTATCTATTCAAAATTGATAAATCAACTAATTTATACAACAAAATAAATAATTAACTAACTATTCAGTTGATACATCAACTAATATGATTCACCAATTGGATAGTTATTTAATTCTTAAACTCCACTATATACGGTCAAAATTGGGCTTTGCCTTTTTTGTGACTAACCGAGACTGGAACGTGGTAGGCCAAGGTAAGACCTCGTATTATATCGAACCATGATGCAAAGTTAGATTACCTAGCTCGTGACCCAGAGACCGATCAAGATCGAGATCGGCCAAGATTGAGATCAAGCAACAAAAAGATCGAGCGAGATCCAAGGAAGTTTGCGAGCCAAATAATAGAAAGCAGAGATATCCGCAATCGGGTAAGGATCACAGCGAAAATCGCGGCACGTATCAAGAAGAGGCCAATTAAGTAGCTAATCATGAGATTTCTTACTGTATTTAGAATTATACCAAGAGTAGGACTCCCCTACTATATAAAGGGGGTCTGATCATTTGTAACAGGGGCGTACGCAGGACTTTTTGTAAGCGGTGTAGAAATTTAAAGTGGTGAACAAATTACTACAATAAATATGGGAGATAAGAAATTGAGAAGAGCAACACCAAATTACAAGTTATAGAGGATGGGAACTTTTTCGTAGTTACGGTTTAAAATTCGTTTACCTTATTGTAAAATAATTACTTTTTAGAAGTTAAATAGTATTTCATTATCACTTATGGTGTCACGGAAGAGGACACAGTTCTATTTTTTTAAACAAAACAGGCTTAAAAGAAAAAAATGCAAAAGAAACGCATACGAAGTATTCGAACTGCATACCTCGACGTTGCAAGTGAGGCGCTTGGCCATCAGAACAGACACTATATTTTGTTCAGCAGTGTCATGTGATTTGTATCTATACCTTTTGGCCAATGTTCATACGTGTATAATTAAAGTTTTCTGGCTAAGCGGTGTCGGATGACACCGCTTGGACTAGGGTGCATCCGCCCCTGATATGTAAAACACATCATATTCACGTAATACAAAGCAATATACTGCCTTTCTCTAGTTTTCATTATCTTGTTACTCTGTTCTTATATCAGCTGAAACTTCACTTGGTTCAAGGGTGATCGAACTCGAGGGCCAAGGCTATTCGATTCGTTTGGTTTGCGTTTATTTCTTTTACGGTCAATTTTGATATTAACATATCCTCATATTCTGTGCCAAGTTATGTCACATATCCTTAAAACCACATATAAATTCAATTGTAATCCCATTTTAGGGTAAACGTTTGGCGCGCACCGTGGGGATAGTTACTCGGTACAAACTTTCATAGCACACACTATTTTTTCACTTGTTCTTTGAAGCATCTTTGATCCCAGGATCAGAATGTTAAACTCTCAGTCAGCACCCCTTAACGTCTGCAACTGTTCTAGCCACCACGGCGAGAATGAAAACATAGCACCAGGAAATGACGTACCCCCGGTTGGCTTCGATGGAGTTTCGGCAGTAGATCCAATCAGCGTCAGGCCGTCAGCTAACATATAGTCCTCAACGCTAATTTGGCAATCGACCCCAAGGGCAGCATCTGCGGGGACAATCGATCAGCCACTCAAAGTGAACGCGGCAACGAGGACGGCGGGGTCAACCTACAAGTGATCTTTGAAATGTTGCAAGCCCAACAAGCAGCGATAGCCCTGCTCCAAAATCAGAATCACACACCGAGCAGGGTCGAGCTCGAGCCGTCCCAGCAGGGTCGAATCAGTTTCAAGGAGATCGAGCAGGAAGGAATTGGAGACCAATCCTGCTATCATAAAGATGCTCTAAGATTTGACAAAGAGAATCGAGTCAGGGGAAAGAAGAACGAGGAAAACGATAAGAAGGTGGAAACTTATAACTCCGGGATCGATCAAATCCCGGGAGCACCACCAATATTGAAGGGACTGGATTCCAAAATTTTCGTACAAAAACTTTTCCCCCCGAGTGTGGCTCTAAAGCCAATCTCCAAGAAGTTCTGCATGTCCGAGATTCCTAAGTATAATGGGACGACTGATCCGAACGAGCATGTCACCTCTTACACATACGCTATCAAAGGGAATGACCTAGAGGATGACGAAATCGAATCTGTCCTACTAAAGACATTCGCAGAGACCTTGTCGAAGGGTTTTATGATATGGATCCATAATTTACCCCCTAATTCTATTGACTCGTTTGCTATGCTTGCAGGTTCTTTTGTAAAGGTACACGATGGGGCCATCAAGGTCAAAACCAGGAAGTCGGACCTTTTCAAGGTAAGGCAAAATGACAACGAGATGCTCAGAGAGTTTGTGTCTCGATTCTAAATGGAACAGATGGACTTGCCACCAGTCTCCGACGATTGTGCCATTCAAGACTTCACTCAAGGTCTCAGCGTTCGAAGTTCAGTGGCTTCACAGCAGTTGAAGGAAAATTGGATAGAATACCCAGCTGTCACTTCGGCCGATGTGCATAATCGGTATCAGTCGAAGATCAGGGTCGGGGACGATCAACTTGAGGACCCTTCTGGGTCCGTTTATCCTATCAGACCCGTCGACAGAGTTAAAAGGGATATTGATCGAGAACCAAGATCGAACAGAGATCGATACCGACCATATAATAGAGATCGGAGGAACAGTGCACCTGGGCGGAACCCTGTACGGAAAGAAAGGAGAAATGATCGTGGTCAGAGCTATCGAGGGCTCATGAGCAAGAG